TCCTGGGTTCAAGCAATTCTCCTGACTCAGCCTCTGTAGTTCAGCAGCTGAGATTAAACACATGCTACCATGCTTTGCTAGATTTTTGTATTTTTAGGGGAGACGGAGTTTCACCATGTTGGCCAGGCTGATCTTGAACTCCTGACCTCATGTGATTTGCTCACCTCAGCTTCCCAAAGTGCTAGGATTACAGGCATGAGCCATCTCACCCAGCCGGAAGTCTTTTTTTTTTTTTTTAGGATGAAGACTCCCCCTCTTGTTGCCCAGGCTGGAGTGCAGTGGCACGATATCGGCTCACTGCTACCTCCACCCCCCAGGTTCAAGCAATTCTCCTGCCTCAGCCTCCCCAGTACCTGGGACTACAGACACACGCCACCACGGCTGGCTAATTTTCACATTTTTATTAGATACGGGGTTTCACCATATTGGCCTGGATGGTCTCCAACTCCTGACCTCGTGATCCACCCACCTTGGCCTCCCAAAGTGCTGGGATTACAGGCGGGAGCCCGGCCCCTTTTTTGTATTTTTTTTTTAATAGAGATGGGGTTTCACCATGTTGGCCACGTTGGTTCCAAACCCCTGACCTCAGGTGATCAGTCTGCCTCAGCTGCGATTACAGGCATGAGCCACCATGCCAGATCCTGAAGTTTTTTAATGTCCACAGATATGTCTGGAAGGGTGGACTCCAAATGAACTATAGGAAAATACATGAACAACAAAAAAAGTTGCAGGCCAGGCATGGTGGCTCTGGCCTAGAATCCTAGCACTCACTTTCAGATACCAAGGCTGGCGGATCACCTGAGTTCGGGAGACCAGCCTAACCAACATGGAGAAACCCTGTCTCTACTAAAAATTAGCTGGGCATGGTGGCACATAATCCCAGCTGCTTGGGAGGCTGAGGCAGGAGAATTGCTTGAACCCAGGAGGCAGAGGTTGCGGTGAGCCGAGATCGTGCCATCACACTCCAGCCTGGGCAACAAGAACAAAACTACGTCTCAAAAATAAATACATAAAGCCAAGCGTGGTGGCTCACACCTGTAATCCCAGCATTTTGGAAGGCCGACGCAGGCGGATGGTGAGGCCAGGAGATGGAGACCATCCTGGCCAACATGGTAAAACCGCATCTCTA